TCCTCATGTCTGTGGTCTCTCAGCTTTTTTATAATTAGATCAGATTTGAAAATATTCTGGTATAAAGTCAGCTCTATGCCATCAGAGCAGACCTTTTTTTTTCTACATGAAACAAGTTTTTCTTTTTGACCTCCTGGTCTGTTGGTTTCATGCAGGAAACACTGAGAGGACAACAGAGCTGAGAGTCGTTCAGGAGCCGACAGTCTCTGATCAGCTCCGTCCAGGAGACTTGATGTCTCTGCAGTGTTCAGTCCTCTCTGACCCGGACAGTAAAACGTGTCCCGGAGGTCACAGCGTGTTGTGGTTCAGAGCCGGATCACATGAATCTCGTCCAGACATCATCTACACTGCTGGAAACAGACGTGATGGATGTGAGGAGAGATCTGCCTCTCAGAAAAGCTGTGTTCATCACTTCTCTAAGAACATCAGCTCCTCTGATGCTGGGACTTACTACTGTGCTGTGGACACATGTGGACGCCTTTTATTTGGAGATGGGACCAAAGTGGACGTTGAAGATAACAGTATCAGTAAAACAGATTCAAGTGCCTAATTATGGCTTCATGGATAAATTGCATTTAACAATTTAATTTTAAAATCTTGTAATCAGGACGTTTTCTTCTAATTCTGTTTCAGGGAAGTTTTCACTGAAGGAAACCACAGTTACTTTTCTGCTCTGTGCTGCCTTGGCCCTCACGCTCATCGTTATAGCCTTCCTTATTCATGCCATCAAGACAAACAACAACGGTAATAAAGATTACTCTTGTTTCATTTTGATAAAATAATGTTTGATTCAAATGTTTCCTAATCTTTTTTTTGTCTCTCTCCTAATTTCAGCATCTGATGCTTTGGGAGAAAACTGTGATGTTTGGAGAAGACAGATGTTGGAGAGTTTAAAGGTAAGATTAAAGTTTATAAAACTACTGTTCTGACTTTATATTCATGTTGATTGTTCTCATCTCCTTCACTGTGTTGTTACAGAGAGATCAGGTTTATCTCTGCCGTCGTCTTTACCGTGATGAAATCAAAGAAAGGAGCAAAAGCAGCGGAGAAAGAGAGGATCTACGCCGCTGTGAAGGCTTTTGAGATGGATCAGTGATTCAATAGGGTCTGCTTTTTAGCACTTAGTTCTGCATGGTCTACATAACAGTCGTCTTAAGATTCAAAGGGTGTAATGGCCTGTTTGATTGTTCTCAACATTTTATAAAGCATTCTGATTCACAATGTGCTGCAACATTTTAAAGACACACTTCTTCCTAAAAGTAGACAGCAGAGTATTTTCTGTGGTAGATCCAAATAGATGAATGTACTCTTAATTAGGGGTTGCACCTTCTTATTTGTTCTCTACTCCCACACGTCCTGTGCAGGAGGTCGAGAGACGCTGTTTAGATTGTTTTTTACAGTGTTTTTACTTGTTTGTCTTCAGTGTACATTACATAGACTGTAAATGTTACTTCACAAAGCACGGAGGGATGTCACCCGTCTGTTCCTGCAGGGGGCGCTGGAGTCCCATCGATGGCGGTCTCCATGCTGGAAATGCTGTCTCAGTCTAACTTTCAGTCAACCTAACGACAGGCTGAGAGCTGGAGCTGAGGCGGGTTTTAAACCTCCTGACAAACCGTTACACCGCGCCCACCTGTCAATCAGGTCAGCTACACGCCTTATTGTGAATAACTCTTATCCTTCATCAAATCAAAACTGATGAGTCATCAAAACATTCACCCCCCGTACAGTGTGTGTCCATCCAGACATGAGCTAATCACACCTATTTGGTTTTTTGAACCAGGCTGTAAACATGTTCATCTCTGCTGTAAAAACAGGCTTTTAGAATGGGTGTGTATGTGACTTCCTGTGTTCCTGCAGCCAGCCTCTAGTGGACACTCCAGGAACTGCAGGATTTTATACTTCAGCATCAGCTTCATTTTTTAACACCAGAGGATACCGCTTGGTGCAGCCTCAAACTGTTCAAGAGGTCGCAGGGTTAAAGACGGCAGAGGTTGTTATAAATGATTTAATGTTTAATTTGAAGATGATCTGAAGCTTAAACTCTGTAAATAAATAAACATATGTTTCAATAACTTGTGGAAGATCAGATCATGTGTGTGTGTGTGTGTGTGTGTGTGTGTGTGTGTGTGTGTGTGTGTGTGTGTGTGTGTGTGATAAGTAAATCTTCTTGCTGATACAGTCCTTGATATTATTGCATGCTGACAGGTCTCATCTGATTGCAGGTTAAACATTCTGTATTTTCTTTTATACTGCTTGTGATTTTTTTTTCATGATTATTTTGTTAAAAAAAGATGTTGAAATGTGGATTAAATTAAAGTTAAATCCTCTATTATTTAAAATACTGAAAGGATCTGCAGTAAACAAGCACTCATGAGGTGAAAGCCTGGTCCTGGTGGAAATCAAGAAGAGAGAGAGTAGGGTATGACATGCGGGAAAGAGCCACAGGTTCGGAATCGAGCCTGGTCCGCCCGTTGGAGGACCATGGCCTCTATACAGGGACACGCACACTAACCACTGCCCCACCTGCTCCCCACTTTTGTATATTTGTATTTTAAACGAGTGTCAAAGTTGGAATTCAGACTTCAGAGGGCGTTCCTGATGACGTATCAGTGTCGGAGTTTCCGACTTCCTAGATCAAATTGAACGCACCATCTGTAGTCAGAAGACTAGAAAAGTTATACGACCTCAAGTCTTACACTTCCTGGTCAATTCGTCATACGTCATTCCTTCCTTGTGTCCCTGAGCTCGAATGGTCTTTGTGAACTTCTGTGTTTTATTCCCTGTGTTCGGATTTTGATGGACTTGTTTGTACCTTTGCAGAAGTAAGTTTAGTATTGCATTTTGCCTTTTTGTAAAAAAAATCTTTAGTTTTCGTATCTGCAATTTGTCCCACTCTTTGTTTTTCCAGGAACTGTCAGTCTATGGCGAATTTGCACCACTTTTTTAAAAAAGGCTTTAAATATCAGAATGATGGTATTTAATACAGTTGGAGTTTATATAGAAATTTGTTGTAATATTAATACTTATCCTAAAATTAATTATGAATATAAATTAAAAATATTATTAACCAAGTTATTGATTTGGCACCACTCTGAGATCAGAAACAAATAACCAAATATCCCCAACATCAGTCTCAAATTATTTAATTAATTACTAATAAATTAACAATTAATTATCTTTATTAATAAATTGAAGGCGTGGAATCCGTACAAAGCCTTCGCACACAGCTTGTATCACAATGCAAATACACCAGCAATCACAAACAAGTGCTCTTTAAATTATAAAAGAGTTATTTAACAAACCACATCAAGTCAATCAATGCACACAGATGCAGATGATTTTGATGGCGGCGACAGTCCCTTACGGCAAGAGTGGCGTTGATGGTTCTCCATTCGAGTGGGAAGACGTACGTTGATGTCCTTTTCGTCGCAGGGTAGCCCATGATGTCATGGACACTCCTGGAAGTTGTCTTCCAGATCAGCCTGAGTTTTTCGTGCATGGATGCATCAGGTAAATCACAGAGGCACAGGTTATCTCTCCGAGGTACTCATCGATGCAGCAGTTATCTGGATCAAACCGCTCTATATCCTTTGCCATAGATTCCATGAACCTTGTGCGCATTCTTTGAAATCTGGGTAATAAGGCTCATTGCAAGTCTTCTGATGATTTCGATATTCCTCAGCTGGGGGCTGAGAAGTCACCCCATTTCCCATGTGGTGATTCAAACCTGTGAAGGTGTGAAAAGATGTCACAGTTGGGGCATTTTCCAAAAACTATCTCGCCCACCAACAAAATCAACTAACCCCTAACCACCCACAACACTCACTCGCCAGCCTCAAAAACCAACTGGGCAACCCACAAAAGCTAGTGACCCACCCAAGAAAAACAACTAGCCCACCAACAAAACCAACTGACCCACCCAAAAAACAACTAGCCCACCCACAAAACCAACTGCCCACCAACAAAACAAACTGCCCACCAACAAAAACAACTGGCCCACCCACAAAACAAACTAGCCCACCAACAAAACCAACTGGCCCACCCACAAAACAAACTAGCCCACCAACAAAACCAACTAGCCCACCAACAAAACAAACTAGCCCACCAACAAAACCAACTGCCCACCCACAAAACAAACTAGCCCACCAACAAAACAAACTAGCCCACCAACAAAACCAACTGCCCACCAACAAAACAAACTAGCCCACCAACAAAAACAACTAGCCACCCACAAAACCAACTGGCCCACCAACAAAACAAACTAGCCCACCAACAAAACAAACTAGCCCACCAACAAAACAAACTAGCCCACCAACAAAAACAACTAGCCCACCCACAAAACCAACTGGCCCACCAACAAAACAAACTAGCCCACCAACAAAAACAACTAGCCCACCCACAAAACCAACTGGCCCACCAACAAAACAAACTAGCCCACCAACAAAACCCACTGACCCACAACAAAAGCTAGTCACCCACCCAAAACAACTAGCCCACCAACAAAACCAACTGACCCACCCAAAAAAAAAAAACTAGCCCACCAACAAAAACAACTAGCCCACCCACAAAACCAACTAGCCAACCCACAAAACCAACTGGCCCACCAACAAAACAAACTAGCCTACCGCCAAAATCAACTGACCCACCCAAGAAACAAACTACTTTTTAAGTACTTCAAAATTTGTATGCACAATCCTGCACAGTCTAACTTGCAGATACACATTAACCGGTTAGTTCTTTGCAAGTAAGGCAGAGTGCTTTACCTTCCTGAGCACCTAACGTATGAAATATATGTGCAAAGGTTTTATTTACAATTAAGGTACATACAAAAGAAAGTATGCTACACTGATTTGTAAAGAAAACTACTAGCCTTGTAAAAATAAAAACCTAACGATTGCTTTAAACATAATTCCCGCCCTTGACAGGGCAAATATTTAAGGATTTTTGAGGTGGCCAATGATATTTCTATGTCTCTGCCCTTAGACACGCCTCTGATTCTGATATTTAAAGCACAATCAAGAACAAATCTCCGTCGGCTGGGAAGTGCAAAACAAGCTTATAATGTGTAAAAAACATTTCAAAACTTGAGGACAAATTTACACTTAAATAATCGCCTCAAACTCTAATAAAGTAGCACAACATGGGGGCGCTTGATAGCCTAGTGTTTGTGTTGTACGCCCCATGAACAGAGGCAATAGCTCTCATAGCCTCGGCCCTTTGCTTCATGTCATCCCTCACTCTCTCCTCCCAGCATTTCCTGTCTTTCCTCAGCTGTCCTATGAAAAAAGGCAAAAGGCCCCAAAAAATATCATTGAAAAAATAAGGAGCACAACATGATATGAAAATGGAAAGACATAGTTTATTGTGAAAAAGTGGGATTAAATAGAAATACAATTTGTTTTGTCTAATTTCTTGTCTAATCTCCAATCTGGTTATACCGCCGTTGTTGTTTGTTGTCTCTACCGTCGTGACTCTGTCAGTTCTGTCTCGTGTCATTTGCTGCCGGTACTTATGAAAAAAAAAGAAACAGGCAGAGACCTGTGTGGTAGGAAATGCTCTTTGATTGCATGTTGAGATAACCAATCAGGTGCGTGTGCAGGAGTGACTTTGATGACCTCGTCACCATCGTCACTTACAAAGTAACTGAGGAGCCTCCTCACATGAGACAGTGTCAAGATGATGGTGCTGTGGATCACACTGCTTCTCCTCCATCAGGCGTGTGAGTGATGAAACTTAATGACTAAATACTTTCTCATGTATGTAAGAGGAAGAGGTGATTCATGGAAGTCTAATCGTGATAATTGTTGTTGATTGTTTCAATTATTGTCTCTCTTTATCTAGATACGCTTCCTCCGTTGACCACAGTTGACTTGGGAACCTGTGACTTTAACATGTGTTTACCGATATCAAAACCAGATAGTCTTCTGTACAAGCAGAGCGCCGGGGAAAGGCTGAAATTAATGGTGACACTGGGAAATGGAAAACCTCTATTTGAAACAGAGTTCTCTTCTCATTATTCGATGCTAACATTTCTGAAAATATGAGCAATCTGACCATTTTGACGACGACTCAAGAAGACG